ATTGGAAGATTGTGCAGTTGCAAGATAATTGGACTTACGGATTGCATAGTTCCGTTTTGCACCCTATAAGTTCATTCTTGGAATACTACTTTTGTTTGACATATCTTTTTGGGTTACATGTAATCTTGGTAGTGATAGTTTTTTTTATCTCCTTTTTATATGGTGTTGTATGTAGACGGAGGAACCCTTAAGTTTCAATGTATCTTTTTGCTTTTTAGTAGGGATCCTCCTTCCCTCTTAAAATTGTATTATCTCTATTATCATTAACGCGTAAGGAGTCACGAGTTGCTCTTTCAATCAAAAAATATATATAAATTTATATCATAAAAGGTCCGCATTTTATGCTCCATAGAATTGATGCAAAATTTGAATCCAACATCCTACCTCAAATTTTTTTTAAATAATTTAAATGAACTAATTTCAAGTCAAAAACTAGCCAAACAAAAATAAAAATGTGTAAATTAAATCAAACATGAATGCACTATTCACAAGTCAATTTCAAACGAATCAAACACAAGTCAATTTCAAACGAATCAAACACAAGTCAAACATGAGTTTATTTAAGCTCGACATACCACCACCACCACCCCCATCCATCCGCCAAAATGCTGATCATCAACGCCACTCACCAACCCAATCCCATGTTGCCTATTTATACACTAAATTCATTTAATTTCACTAAAAACTAAAAAGTAATGACTTACATATTTTATTATGGGCATTTACATGCATATCACCCAATTCCCATGTATTTACATACATATTTACACATCTCACATTAAAAAAAAAACACTTCTTTAAACACACATTTCATGCACGTGTAAGAAGGCATATATGTCAAAAAAGAAGTTTAGGTGTCAGATATATAAATAAATAAGAATTGAGTGGTGCATATGTAAATCTTATTATCATTAACAACACAACAGTTTGATAGCCAGCCTTTAGCAAGTCCAGGATAAAAAAACAGCGCAATATTATACTTGATGATAAAGAGTATTCAAAAGCTGAAGAAAGATGGAGAACGGTTCATAAAAGCATATAGGATACATCATGTCCATGTAGCAATATATTCAAAGCAGTATACCACAACAATCATTATAAATGTGTTCTTGCAAATTTAATATGGACCAAAAAGAGCAGAGAGACTGTTTAATTTGCTCGATCTCTGAGTACCACAATGTCGAGCTCGGAAGGTTCTGTCGCCTGGATCTCATAGTGAACTCCATCCATCTCTCGCCTGAATCGTTGCTTCGTCGTTGCGTACAGCATCTTGGCTCGAATTCGAGAAACGGATGGAGACCTGTTTCAAACACAGTTTGTCAGGTCGGGCATAAAATTGTTCCCTTAAATTTACAGAAATTTGCATACATATCACACAATTCTTATGTGTTTAAATATCTAAAACCCAAAGTTTGATATTTAGACCTATGACATCTTGGTGCAGTTTGGCATCGGATATAATTTCGACGCAAAATTAACGTCTAATTTAAGTCCGTTTAGCACCACGCGCAGTCTCAAACATAAATGAGTCGACGCAAACGAGTAGAGTCGATATGACGACGCTAAGTAGACGCATTAGCATCGCTTAAACATTTACCCCTTTGTTCCTCATCGCAATGTTCTCTCCCGACCGCCACTCCTTCATGTCTAAGCCCATTTTTTGGCTTCTCCTACTCGTTTTCACCGCTTGATCTTCGTCCAATGTGAGAAAAGTTCATCTACGCCTCCAAGCATCGATTTTACACAAGTATTGATATTTTTTATATACATTTGCATGGGTGTTAGATTTAGAATTCTAGCAACAAATTTAAGTAGAACGCAATGAAATTGTACTAATCTATAGAGCAACATCTATGATGAAGACATAAATTCGAAAAAATGAGATCTTAGATGTATAACAAATTATATCCATAAAGAAAATAACTTATTGACGAGTTTAGGCTGGAGTTGTGGAATTCAAACAGGTAGCATCCCCCTTTTAGAAGAGTAGGTTTCGATGTTGTTGTGTGAAGCGCAAGAATCAAATGTACCTGACGCCTGACAAAGTAAAGTTGGATCTATCCTGTAGGGAATTTAAACCTGATTATTGGTATTGGACTTCACATGATGAATTGAAATCAGATGTTTAGTAAGGTCATGTTGAATTGAAACCAGATGTTCATTAAGGTCATGCTGAATTGAAACCAGGTGTTCGATAAGATCATGCTAGAGCCTCATCAAGTTATGCTCCTCTAAAGGTTCACAATTCTGGCATGTATGAGGAAATGATTGTTGATGTCAACATGACTCATTCTAATTTGAAGTGTGGCCAATGAAGATAAAAAACCGAATAATGAGGCGCAATAATTTTTTGAATTATTAACTGTTGCACAACAATCTTTGTAGGAAGAAGGCACTTTACATACGGAGTTATCAATTGCCTTGAGAATGTTGAGTATCAAATTTGATTTCAACATGCACAGGGAATGCTTCAATCAGGTAGCAATATAATTAAAGGATACGAATCCTGTAAAAAAATTAGTTCCAGAAGGTTTGTACATAACTAAAAAAATTAGTAACAAAGCTACGATTGCTATCTAAAAAACTATATTGTTGTGTTAACAGTTGTATGTTGCATTATACGAAAGATGCACAGGAGACAAAATGCAGATTTTATAGTGTTGAAAGGTTCAAACTAAGGAGGAGAAACAGTAAAAACCAGAAAAATATTCCTCATGTTTCTTTTATTTTCCCCTCATTCCAAGGCTTCAGCGGTTATTTGCTTCGACACACATAACTTCACACATGACATGACAATACTAGATTTGTTGGTGCTAATACAATGACGGCTCGTTAAAATTTTTTTTGTTCGTTTTAGACTCGTATTCCAAATAGCTCATGAATAACATGTTCGTGTTCGGCATTCAAACTCATTTCTTCTAATTAAGCTCGTGTTTGAGCTCGAATTTTGATTCGAATTAAATTTCAATTTTTATTTTTTTTACTCCAAACATTTTCAGTGGAACATATTTATAAAAGCTAGAAGGTACAAAGCTGAAAAATGCCAACACATTTTTATTTTTACTTTTATAGCGGATTCCCAGTGAAGTTTTCTTGGGAAGTCCCGATGTGGGAAAAACCTTGGCCCCGCAGGTGAACATACCACCAATTTTTTATGAATTTACAGAAATTTTCCTTACACCGCATGAATCAGTGGGCCACTGGGCCGTAGGCCTGAGCATAACTTTTGGGAGAAATATTCGATCGAGTTACATAGATGCCACCCAATTCTTATGTTTTTATATACCTCACACTACTTTTTTTTTTTAATTCAAGGGGCATTTACAATCACACCAACCAATTCTTATATGTATTACATTTCTAAAATCTAAATTTTATTTTAATTTATTTTACATTTTACAGCTCCATGAATATTTGTATTTATCTTGTGTATTTACTTTAATGTATAATTTATTTTAATTTTTTAGTTCATATGATCTTAATGAATTATAATTTTTTGTTGGAATATTTTAAAATAATACTCATCAATAAATATATATATATAGCGAGTCTAAACGAGTCGAACACGAGCGAACAAATCTTTGTTTGTGTTCGACTCCTTTATAAATCGAGCATAAAAAAATTGCTCGTATTCAGCTCGTTTGCTTAATAATGAACCGAACATGAGATGTTCACGAACGAGTTGTTTTGACAGCCCTAACAATGACTTATTCTTCAGTTGGTGAAACTTGAAAACACTTCGATCGCAGTTATCCTGATTTTACAATGGAGCCAGACAACATTAGGCTTAGTTTATGTGCAGCAGTGTTAACACCTTACAATCACGCCACAACACCTTATTCATGTTGACCAGTTATTATCATGCAATATAATTTGCCCCATGATATATGTATAACTGTGTCGTTCTTATGCTAACGTTGATCATACCAAGTTCACATAACTCAAAAGTTAAAATAGACGTGAACTTACAACCTCTTATAGATGAGCTACATGTACTGTGAAAAACTGAAGTGTTGACGACTTATGATATTGTAAGAAACCAAAACTTTCACCTTAGAGCTACTCTTATGTGAACGATCAGTAATATCCTGACTTATGAGATACTATCTAGTTGGAGCACAACTGATAAATTGGTTTGTCCTTATTACATGAATATATCCAAAACATTCATTTTGAACCATGGAAGAAGAAATTTTGATTGTCATCAAAGGTCCTTAGCACATGATCACCTATTCCGAAGGAATAAAGAATAAGTTCACCCCCAATAATAAGTGGAATCGATATATTGCAGATGATCGGTGAAGTACCAAAGATCACTAAGAGACAAAAACTAGCCTCGAATCATCTTTCAAATTTTGGCATTACACATACTAGATGAAACAGAGTACTTTTTTTGGATCTTCTATAATTAAGGACCAATCTGATCAGACATAAACACTATTCTGGATATCAAGGAAAAAATAAAAGAGAACGTCAAAGCAAGATTGGACCTGAAAAAGTATTACAAGAGGAGTGGGTTATAACTACAAGAGACAAATACATGTAAAATAATAAAGCTCAAAACTATATATTGTCTCACATTGGATCAACAAAAAAATAATCTTTAAGTGGTTGCAATCTTTGAAGTTTTCAAATGGTTGTGCATCTAACATAAGCCGATGTGTTGATTTGAAAACGAGAAAAATATTTGGTATGAAGAGTCACGATTGTCATATTTTCATACAATGCTTATTATATGTAATATTCAATGTCCAGCTAAAACCGGTATTTGTACCATCGATCGAAGTCAGTTCATTCTTCAAGAAGTTGTGCGCAAGCAGTTTGAATGTAGATTCTCTGAAAAGTCTTAACACGAGTATTTTGTTATTGTTATGCAAGCTCGAACAGATATTTCTTCCTAGTTTTTTTGACTCAATAAAATGGTTGCCCATACATCTGTGCTATCAGACTATATTAGAGGGTCCAGTGCAATACAGGTAGATGTATCCCTTTGAAAGTTATGCCTTTAATTTTAGAGTGAACTATCTTATTTTTTTCTAAAATGACTCAATCGTGAAGATTTATGAAAAAAAAATAAAAAAGACTATTAAGATAAAACACGTCTTGAGAGATCGATATACGAGACAAATCTATTACAGAAGAATTATTGTATGTTCTTAGTAATTCGATCAAGGGCAACATACGCATGATATTGTTAGTCAAATGCCTTTGCAAGAAAAATTATTCATATTCCAGATATCAAGTGAACCATTGGGAAGGCATGGTACACACTACCTCAACGATAGAGAGCTTCAAGCACCTACATTATATGTTCTACAGAACTTTGATGAAGTACAACCATTCCTACCTTACGTTTAAATTTAATTAAAAATTTTCTAAATTATTATTCGGAATGCTATCCCAATTAACTCAAACATACAAATCACAATGAAGTCATCATATTATTTATCGAAAGCCTGAACATAGGATGACTCTTGCAAGCAAGAAGATCAAAGAAAATTTTTCAAAACTGTTCAAACTACATGTAAGTTGAAGTAACTTTTTAATTCACTGGTATGTCGTACAGTTGTACTCTACAAAGTAAAACAATGTATGCTTCAGAACTGCAACTAGGTTCCCAATACAAGCAACAGAATCACAGAACGGAACTTAGTAGATCTTTCTTGGGGGTCTAATCATAATCAAGACACGACACATTTTTTAATTTAACGGTTACAAATTTCACATGAGCTCTTAGTGTGAAGTAAAACAGACTTGCTTTTACTTTTTTGTCTTATGTCACATAATAATCCAGCTTATTAATTCTAATTATGTTTTTCATGTTGCAGATGGCAAGTGCTCAGCCCCAAAGAGACCCCGCATTCAGGGGACTTTAGGAACACATATCAAAGGTTGAAGAAAGTTGTATCCAGCACTGAGAGGTACGACACTCTTGCAGTCACTCTGACGTTGTCCCTCCTGTATCTGCACCATATTTCTACCAAATTCCTCATCAGATGAATCAGGCATGTTGGCTCCTGCACCTGAGATGGGTGACTCCGCTGGTAGAGTCTATATTGTGCCTGAGAGTGACTTGTAAGTCAACTTTCTTTTTTACAGTGCATTAATTTCAATTTTCATTCCATTTTTTATTGTAAATAATATTTCAATTGCAAGTTCTACCCTTCCAGGTAACCTGTGATGCAGATCACAGATATCATCCAGAGCCGGTATGATCAGTCATCTCTCATAAAAACAGATCAAGATACTGGCTCAAGCCATGTGGCTTAAGCAATTTAAGGTGCAATATTTTAGTTTTAA